GACGTTTACATGAATAATAAAAGATTGCTTTTGGGACGCGCGCCCCTAAAATCAAAAAATACAATAATTTATACATTTTATAGTAAATATCACGATTTTCGAAAGCTTATTATTCGAAGGGTATTCATGAAAACGTCTTCAAACTTTGCATACTTTCTAATTTTGAGGTGGTCGTTTTAGTGCTTTGGTTCATTTCTTAATTTGGGAACTTTTTAATAACACTCATCCCCAGTACACTCATCAACTTCGGAATGGCTAATTGCCATGAAAATATTAAAACAAAATATCAATGTAATCACATGCAGGTACTCGGATAACTTTGCTGAGATGCGCGTCTGCACCACAGTCTAAGACACTCGTTACTCAGACTATGTGCACACGGTAACGTTTCCGAGCGTTTTTGGTTGTAATGCGTTTCTGAAACTGAAAGTACCGTTTTCACGTTCTGTTTACACAAAGACGCATGAAAACGACGTCAGGAAGCAAAAACGTTTCAAATAGTGGAAACGATGCCAAAGATTTGTTTTCTATGTCTGAAACGTTTGGTCGTTTTGGCACTTTGTTATCGCGTGAACAGGAAAGTGGAAGTCGAAAATGAAATGCCGTGTTTGAATTTGGAAACGAAGACTAAAAACTAGTGATTTGTCAAAAAATGTTGCGAGAAAAATTATCAATGTGAACAAGGCGCCTAAACGCTAAATTTGAGAACTCCAATGCAAAAACGCTCAAAACCGTTACCGTGTGCACATAGACATAGTCTTACGCCCATATTCTAAACGACTCACTCACACTCAATAAGTGGAGGTTCAATCTGAGCTTCTCTTGAGTGTCAATGCTGTTTTTGAATAGCTGGAGGGTGAGAAGTCACATATTAAGGTACGACACTAACCCTCCAGCTATTCAAAAACAGCAACGACACTCGGAGAGAAGCTCAGATTGAACTTCCACTCATTGAGTGTTAGTGAGCTTTTAGAATACGGGCGTCAGTCTCGATTTAGGACTTATTTAAAACACAATATAAACCGCCATGTTAAATTTACTTTTTTTTCAGCTTTATATGTTTAATATAAATAAATTAAAATAATACTCCTATTTGAAAACAAACGCCCGAAAATAAAACAGTGTTATTAGGGTAGGTTCATATTGAGCTGTGGTTCCAGTTTGTTTGTTCTTAGAATGTCATATTTTATATATAAAGAAACCTGATTGCTTTGTTGCAACCGACCCACGAACAGGCGTCCATTTCAAAACAAGAGCCATATTGGTGCCCCTTATTACTAGCACGCCAATATGGTTGTCATTACCTATATCTAAACTTTAGAAACTTTTGAAAAACTCGGCAAATTCAACTAGCGTCACTCGGCAATTTGACCTTCGACACCCAAATCCATATCCCTTCGCAACGGCTCTGCCTGCGTCATATATTGTCGCAAGAGATCGGCAATATTATATTTCGCTGTGTAAAGCAAAATACCCGTTGTAGCTCCCTAATCTGTAAAATTCATTCATTACTACATTATGGTGAATGTTATAAAACAAACTAAATCTTGAAAATTTTTGTCGTTTTGTCAAGAAAAATCGCAGAACCTACTGTCTGTGTATAGGAAAACTTGTAAATTGAAAATATATTTTTAAGATATATCACATATATCCGTAATTGGGCTTTTCACGAGACTTGTTGATGTCACAAATTGTTGGTCGTTATTCGTGTCTAAAATCCGCTGACGCGCCCCATTGCTGGCGCACTAACATCGTAATGAATGATTGGTATGGTAATTAAGTGATTTGTTGTAAACGAGCGGGAAAATTTTAGATGCTTGTCTTTGAACAAAGCTTACAAAGCTTTTAATTATAAGGAACAAAATTTATTGTAAATTTCTAATGGTTTACAACGGTGAAATATCAGCTGAACAAAAGGCGCTCGCAATCTATTTAAAGCTGGAATCTGGAACATCATAGAGAAAATGTTATATTTCAAAATCGGCTGCGGTAGAATATGCAAGTCCGGTTGCAAGTCAAAAGCGGAAGTTAAAACCTGCACAGGGTTTGGCGAAAGAGAAGCAAAAGATTGGAAATTGCCAGTAAAGGTTCTAAACAGCTCCCTGGTCTGCCTCGTACCCAGCATCGATCAAATTAATCCACTAGGCGCACGCAAAGGCCGCGCAAGCCATAGAACAACACATAGTGCCTGTGTTGACGTGAAAGCTTTTGAAGATTTCGAAGCAGAAATGCATGTGATACCTCCACGTTCACCAGATCTAAACCCCATGAATAGATAATATGTTCCATATTGTGAAGAATGACTTAGAGCGCCAACCTATTTGCGAGAATATCACGGCTGAATCATTGAGCTAATTCGGAAAGAAATAATTTTAAGCGTTAGATAATACCTCCGTCGACATCATAGATCGCTACTTCCGTCGACGTTATAGATCGCACAATTAATACTATGTCTGGGAGCATTCATGCTGTAATTAAATCCAAGGTATTCCGAATAAAATATTGATAGCTTATGCTTAATTTTATTGCTTATATTACGTATTCTATTAACTCGATTGAGACCGGAAATTCAAAATGAAATGTAAACATGTCAGTAGAGGTTCAGCTTGAAGAAGGACGTTTCTGATTGGCTGTCCACTAATTAATTGTAGCAAATGTAGCAAATCGAAGAGGATGCAAAACATATCATATAACAGCTTGAGCGATCTTTTAATTTAACACGCACATAATATGAAAAAAGACATATCATATAACAGCTTGAGCGATCTTTTAATTTAACACGCACATAATATGAAAAAAGCTTTTCGTGAAGTGAGATACGAGGAAAAAACAAGCCAGGGCAATAGATATATCTCTAACTCTCAATAGGGCCTTTCATATCTCGTTTTGTAAGGGTTTTGAATTGTTTTCCTATACCAAATTAATTCCGAACACTATTTATTAATGTCATTCAACATCCGCTTCGGAAGCAAGAAACAATCAACTAGTATTGAATACCAGGTGATTGACATTGTTATTTAGTGCTGCGTCTAGGGCCCCCTTTACACGAGCCCGGGTTGACTATCAACCCGGGTTGGCTTGTCAACCCGGGTCAACCCGTCTACGAATAAATCTCTATTAGCGTTTACACGATAGCCGCGGGTCAACCTTTCACACCTCGCCAACCCGGGGCACCCTTCTCGAGACCCGGGTCGACCCGGGTTAGCGAGGTGTGAACGCGTGAAAAGTTTACTCATTTCTTCATGTAAAGCCGGGTTGGCTTGACCCGGGATCATGTAAAGTGTGGTAATTTCCTGATTGTGAACTTTGCACCTAGCGTCATATCGCATTTCAACATTTTGCTGCGTATTTTCTCCGTCTCTGTTTAGTACAGACATATAAAATCATACAGTATGGCGAGTAAAAACTGTCCAAAAGAAAAAATGCTCAACCCGCGTTTCAGTGGTGGTCTGAAATTATTGATCACCTAATCCTTTCTCTGAAGGATTATAAGACGGAGATGAATTATAAAAATGTAGATTTCAACTCCGATGTTCTCGCAATGTATATATTCAAAGTTGCGCGAAGGTCTGGCGTTGGCGTTCGATGCCGAATATTTTTGCCTAGTAAATCTTCCAGTACAAAATAACGAGGAGCTATCAAAAAGGGAAGAAAACGCCTTTAAGGCAGAATTAAATTGCTATACGGTTAAATCCTTGATAAAAAGGGTTATAATCGTATATTGAAAGTGTAAACGCCAAAACTAAAAGGTATATAATCGTAACACTAATCTGATATCATGTGAGGTCTATAAGGGATTTTAAGGGATATAAGCGCCAAAAATACACTCGCTCCAGTCTGTTGCTCGGAATATTACTCGAGTCAGCCCGGGTTGAGAATTGCTGACCCGGGTTGGCAAAAATTGTCGTCAACCCGGGTTCATGTAAACAGAATAAAAAAATAACCACCTGTGGCGTGCTGACCCGGGTTGAAAATCAGCCCGGGCTCGTGTAAAGGGGGCCTAGTTCCTTTCACAGTTGGGTGGCATTCTAACGAATCTGTAACTCCAAACTAACTGTGGACTGAATTTACTTGGCCGTCCATTTTGCAAAGGTTTTATATTCTTTAACGGAGGTCACAATAAAGAATCGCTATGTTTTAAAGCTCACATCTGCGTATTGTTTCTGCGTCTGTTATAAATGGATCAGGTAAGCTCGTTGGTTTTGTTAATATATAATTCACGCAAGAATCATTTGCCTTTTCCAGACTATAATACGCTTTGTATATAGTATTATTAATTAACTGTTGATGTAGCGCTTTGGTTTGTTAATATATTCACGCAAGAATCATTTGTAAGGACTATATTCGCTACATTGCTACATTTGCTACAGACATAAGTCGCGGTATCCATTCGAATATAAAGGACTATATTTGCTACATTGCTACATTTGCTACAGACATAAGTCGCGGTATCCATTCAAATATATTGGTTTGTTAATATATTCACGCAAGAATCATTTGTAAGGACTATATTCGCTACATTGCTACATTTGCTACAGACATAAGTCGCGGTATCCATTCGAATATAAAGGACTATATTTGCTACATTGCTACATTTGCTACAGACATAAGTCGCGATTTGCTACAGACATAAGTCGCGGTATCCATTCAAATATATAGACTATATTCGCTACATTGCTACATTTGCTACAGACATACTAGTCGCGGTATGCATTCGAATATAAAGGACGTTGTGTATTTGCTTTCTATTAAATAGCTATATTATATTTCGTGTATCACTCAACAAGAAGCACTCATCCCGAACACATGGTGGATGCGCGCGCATCCTAATAACATAGGTAACCCATAACATCTCCTCCCTACTAAAAATTGTTCAGTCAATATCCAGTCTTTGCTGCACATAACATTAACATTAAAGTCATAATTAACAGTCTTTGCTGTATATCTATATACTGTAAATATACGTTCTAACCCCTACATCTGTCCGTAACACTGCTACTTTAGAGATCAAGTCTCACAGGTGGTTTCCTCACTCTTTCTGGATATCTTCGTTCGCTCGTTGTCGCCAGAGGCATTGATGTCTCTGTAGTGCTCTCATTTACAAGTTCGTGGGTGCTGGAGCCCTGTTGCACTTGCAAGTCTGCTGCTACTATTGGCAACGTCTGTTCACTTGAACTGGATATCACTTCCGGCTGCACTACTCCCATATTTGCAGTTTGCTCCCTGTCCTGTATTGTGCTTAGTTTAACTTCGGTTGGCAGCAGTTGGTCAATATGTCTGCGCCAGATTACGCCCGATGTCACTTCGATCTTATACATCAAAGGTCCGATCCTTTCAATGACCTTTCCCGATCTCCACTTTAGATTTCCTCGGTAATCACGTGCCATTACCATGTCTCCCACTTCCAACTGTCGTGTTGCTCTGTTCTTGGCACTGGCCGACTTCCTGCTCTGCTCCTGTTGTTTGATCACCATCTTCCTGTTCAGATTAGGTTTAACTAAGTCTAAACGTGTCCGTATTGGCCTGCCAAGCATAAGTTGTGCTGGGCTCTCTCCAGTTGTTGAATGTGGGGTATTTCTATAGGTTATAAGAAATTTTGCTAACTTCTCTTGAATTGGCTTCGAACTTTCTTCCATTGAACGCAGTGCCTGTTTGAATGTTTGCACTGATCTTTCTGCAAGGCCATTTGTAGCAGGGTGGTATGGGGCAGAGGTGATGTGTTTTACTCCATTAGATTTCATAAACGACCGGAATTCTTCTGAGACGAATTGGGGGCCATTATCGGAGACAATCTGTTCCGGGATTCCGAATCGTGCAAACAAATTTCGTAGTACTTCAATGGTCTTCGCTGCGGTTGTCGACTTCATAGGAATTACTTCTGGCCACTTGCTGTGTGCGTCGACCACCACCAGGAACATAGTATCCTTAAAAGGACCAGCATAATCAATATGTACACGTTGCCATGGTGAAGTGGTCCATTCCCATGGGTGTAAGGATACCTTGGATGGCATCTTTTGGTTCTGTAGACAACCACTACAGGTTTTCGCTACGTTCTCCAACTGTTGGTTGATGTTTGGCCACCACACATAGCTTCGTGATAGGGCCTTCATCTTGACGATACCCAAATGACTATCATGTAGCTCTCGCAGAATTCTCTCTTGCAACTTGCTAGGGATGACCACTCTCATTCCCCAAAGGATACAACCTTGATGAACTGTAAGTTCACTCTGTCGGTCATGGTAGGGCTTGTCTCCCTCGAAACGTGCTGACCAACCTTTAACTATTGAATCATAAACTCTGGCTAATATGGGATCACGATTTGTCTCTTTAGCTACCGATTCACTGGTGACTGGGAGAATGTTTAACTGGGTTGCATGAAACACGTCAGCTGCATCCACAGCTGTATCCTCTTTCTCCGTCATTGGCAGTGGTAGTCGTGATAGACCATCTGCATTACAGTGTTCTTTCGTATTCTTGTACTCAATGTCGTATTCGAATCCAGCTAGGAACAATGCATAGCGTTGGAGTCTTGTGGCCGTCATTATGGGTATTCCTTTTTCTGGATGGAAAATGGATGTCAGAGGTTTATGGTCAGTGACTAGTGTAAACCGTCGCCCATACAAATATATGTGAAACTTCTTGACCCCCCACACAATTGACAGTGCTTCCTTGTCAATCTGGGAGTACTTGCGCTCCGTCTTGGTGAGGGATCTGGATGCAAAAGCCACTGGTCTTTCACTTCCATCTGCCATAACATGCGACAACACTGCACCAATTCCGGTTGGTGAAGCATCACATGCGATCTTAACTGGAAGCGTTGTGTCGTAGTGGGTTAGGACTAGGTCAGAGGTTATCAAGTGCTTGGCATTTTTAAAAGCTTTCTCACATTGTTCAGTCCACTTCCACTTGTGACTTTTCTGAAGCAATACATGTAGTGGGTGAAGAACTGAAGCTGCGTTGGGGAGAAACCGATTATAGTAATTTACCAGTCCTAGGAAGGATCGAACTTGTGACACATTCTCGGGCCTAGGGGCGTTCACTACTGCCTCGATCTTCTCTTGGGTTTTGTGTAAACCATTGGCATCAATTTCATGGCCACAAAACACAACTTTCTCCTTGAAGAATTCACACTTCTCTTTGTTTGCTCTCAGACCTGCCTCTTGTAATCGCTTTAGAACTTCCTCTAACCGTTCTAAGTGCTCTTCATTGGACTTTCCGGTAATTATCATGTCGTCAAGGATGCATTGTGTTCCAGGTATACCCTGTAACACCTGGTCCATGGCACGTTGCCAAATTGCTGGGCTTGACGTCACACCGAAAACTAACCGCTGATACTGAAATAGACAGATCGGAAGTGTGTTAATAGTCAAATACTTTCGTGTCTCTTCAGTGACCTCCATTTGGTGATAGGCTTGGCGTAAGTCTAATTTGGTAAAATGCTTACCCCCAGCCAGATTGGCAAAAATATCCTCGATACGGGGCAAAGGGTATTGTTCTGCGATTAAAACTGGGTTAACAGAGACTTTGAAATCCCCACATATTCGTACTGAGCCATTTCGTTTGACCACAGGTACAATAGGGGTTGCCCACTCACTATGTTCCACCTTGTTTAGAATCCCTTCCTTTTCAAGGCGTGTTAGCTCGGCTTCTACCTTAGGTCGCAAGGCATATGGCACCTGTCGTGCCTTACAGTATCGGGGTCGACAGTTCTCTTTTAATTTGAGGTCAGCTTGGTGTCCCTTCAAGGTGCCCAAATCATCATCGAACACACTTTTATACTTTTTCAAAAGGTTATTTACCTTACCCTGTGTCTCATTGTCTGTCGCTTGGTTTACTTTAAGGGCTTTGATCTCGCCCCAGTCTAGTTTGATTACAGAAAGCCAATCGCGCCCAAATAACGCTGGTCCCGGGGACTCAATAACTTGAATATCTAGCTGTCTTGTCTGGCCATCGAGACTAACTCTACAATTGATTTTCCCTTTTGGATACAGCTTTTCCCCTGTGTAAGTTTTAAGTGTGATTTGACTTCTCTGTAGCTTTATGTGACTAAACTTAGCTCTGTATAACTGATACGGGATAACTGAAACTGCAGAGCCTGTGTCTAGCTCCATTCTTAAGGGTGTTCCTTCAACTTTGGGGGTTACCCATATTACGTTATCTTTGTTTCCCACTTTATTTATTTCTAAACTAGCCAGGTAATCATCGCTGTCACTATCATCATCATCATCAATGTGATTTACTGGGGGTTTGAAACTATGTGTTTCTTTGCTTCGTTTTCTACAAGCTCTCCGAATATGACCGCTCTTCTTACAATAATGGCAAATTGCATTTTTAAAGGGGCAGGATTTATGCTGATGATCACCATGACAACGGTAACACTTGGGGTCTGCAGGGGAAGGAGAGGCGTCCCTTCCTTTCTTGGCTTTCGCATTCCTGTTTTGCTCTTCAGGTTTATTTAACAAATTCACTGAATCTGATTCCTTATTCGTATGGTTTGAATCTCTCCCCCCTTGCATAGTTTCAACGTCCTTACATGATTGTTCAATAGCGATGCATTTAGCAACGGCTGTGTCAAAGGTCAGTTCTTCGAGCTTAAGTTTTAAGAGTTCTGACATCATTTTTCTGTCACGAATACCAGATACTAACCGATCTCTAAGTCGCTCTAAACGCATCGTTTCGTTGAACTTACATTCTGTAGCTAAATGTTTTAAAACAGCTACGTATTCACTCACCGTCTCTCCAGCGTTTCTCGCTCGATTATCAAACTCGTATCTGGCTACTAATGCTGATTTCTGTGGCTTTAACTGTTTCTGAAGTCGCTCGACTATCGCTTCGTACGTGATCGTGTCCTCTTTTAGTAGATGTGGAGCAAATAAATCCTTTGTTAACTGGTAGGTTTCTGCAGGCATATTCGTCAACAGGACAGCTTTCTTTTGTTTAGCATCAGTCACGCTATTTGCTACGAAAAAGAATTCCAGTTGTTCGGCATACGCTTCGAAGTCAGTGCCAACAACAAACTTTCGAACTTTACCGATGTTTCGAATCGGTTCTGGTGCTTCATCTGCCATCTTTCCACAGGATGGCAATAGCTGCTACAATACCTTGCTTTTTCTAACGTGGTAATATTTCTTAATCCCGTCCTCGTCGCCAAAATGTTGTGTATTTGCTTTCTATTAAATAGCTATATTATATTTCGTGTATCACTCAACAAGAAGCACTCATCCCAGGCGGTGTGCGCATAACGACCGCTAAGCACGATGGTTAAAAATCAAAATTGCTTCATTTGCAATCTGGTCGCGCTTGAGCGAACGTCAACAAAGCTGCTTCTGATTAGCATTGCAAATGGGGATACATTGTTTATTCCCTTTCTTAAAACATTACCATAAAAGAATAAACTTAACTGACTTTTCGGGCAAAATAGCGGCAATAGATGCTTCCTGTTGGATTCACAAGGCCTTGGTTTTATCCATATCTCAAACTGGAAATCGTTCAAGGTGAGAACTTGCAGTGACAATTTTGAGTTTAAAAAACAGTCGATCATACTATAGTCACGGTGTTTCTATATTTCAGGTTGGCTGATATTTTCGAGAAGCATTTGTCAGTGGTTAGAAGAGCAGGAGTGACTCCTTATATTGTATTTGATGGACTTCCATTGCCTGCAAAAGCGAGTGAAGTCGAGAAAAGGCAGAGGTGATTGAAGCAACTTTATACATAGTTTTATAGCAACGTTTGCAACCAAGATTTTACGTTGATATATTATTATATTCACATTTTATAACTGAACTGACAGATAAATATTTTCCCTTACAGAGGCCGAGAAGAATGTTTGCTGAAATCAGAAAGAGAAGGAATTACTCCCCAAGAGGCCAACAAACTTCGAAGCCAAGCTGTTTCAATCTCTTTCAATGATATTTCAACTTGTGTAAACGTGAGTTCCCGTGGTGAATATCAGCCTATTTTAACTATAATATTAACATAGAAATAAATTTTAATATACAACATGTGGAATAAATTCACTAGCCAAGTACATCAAATCTGTTTAGATTTGTTTAAAAGAAAAGGTGTCATATGTTGTCTCGCCCTATGAATCAGATGCACAAATGGCTTTTTTGCTTGAGACAAATGTTGCAGATTTTGCTATTACAGAGGACTCTGATCTTTTAGCTTATGGCTGCAAAGAGGTTTGTTTATTTTATATGCTATAAAAATTCCCTGAGGGAATTGGTAATTTAATTTGGACCCGATTTGACTAGCTCAGTTCTGTATTTTGTGTTCCAAGTGACAATTATGAAGTGGATCCGACATTCTGACTATGTTGAATGAGTCCCCAAGAAGAAGTACCATACAAACATTGAGGGCCCTAGGGGGGGGGGGAGTTGACACTTCAAAATTGTGTCAAAACATCAATGGGTCATTTCAGACACATACACACTTCCCCAAACTGAGGAAATTAATCTCCCAACCACCATCATGGGAGTTGGGGGAACCAAAATTGTTTCTGATACTGGGTAATAGATAGCAGATTAGGACATCCAAAGCGGGTTAATTAAGAGAAGTATTATATTATATTTGATGGCAAAATTGTTTAACTTTAAATCAGAATCATGTCAATTAATCCAATATTAAACTGCTCCCACAATTTTGCTATATTGCTGTTTTTTTTAGGTGATTGTGAAGCTCTGCCTGAGTGGTGAAGGCTGTTATTTGAGTCTGACCAACATACTGGAAGGATTGAAGCTAAATTTCGAACAGTTCCAGAGTTTATGTATTTTAGCTGGGTGTGATTACCTAAAAAACGTCCGTGGTGTTGGTATCCATACTGCATACAAATTAATATGTTCCAAAGATGATTTGTTCCACACACTAGAAAAAAGAGGTGCACCAGCTGATTATAAGGAATGTTTTGCTAATGCCATGTCAGTATTTTTACATCAAACTGTCTTTGATGTCAATGCTGGAAAAGCAGTACCTCTACGAAAATGGGAATCTGCAGCTCCAGCAGTGGAATTGCAGCTACTGTGTGGAAAGTATCCTTTAATCAATAAATTGTATTGTTCACATGTGTTTGTGATGATGTATGATTTTGACATTTTGTGCAGGTTTCCTTAACATTAGATTTAAGATTACTGACTGATGAGTTCTCACAGGAACTGGCTGTTGGGAATATTCATACGACCACTCGCATGAAAGTCAATAGCCATTCCCTACATGCTAATGATAAACAGGTAAAGGTGAAATACTTTTGAGAGATTTACGAACAAATGTTAGTGACTGACCTAACAGAAATTTTACTTGCCATTGTTCTAGGTTCGTGATGATACATTGCATAGTCAACAAGAAGCATCTGCTACAACAAATGGTAAATTCTAAGGATCTGTAATATCAGTTGAGGGAGAATTACTACTTTGCTATGCATGTTACAGTTTGGTTATGGAATGTTTGTTTTAGGTCATATTACTAATACACTTTTCTGACGATGTAAGAAAAATTCACCAGAAATGTCTATTATTTAGGTTGTGTATTCTCTTTCCCTGTTAGTAATTCTCAGTTTAAGAGGCCTCTGTCTAACAAGGCCTCAATAAATTAAAGGAGGCCTCTGAATATAATTTAAAGGTAAATTGTTCATAGACAGATTTTCTGGGGGTGCTAACCCCCCAATATTAGCTATAACCCCCCCCCAAACAAATTGTCCACCCCTCCAAAAAAAATTTCACCCCCTCCCCCCAATATTCTGCACAATAAATAAATAATTAAATAGTCCACTCCAACGTGCAGAGTGTTGATGATACAAAATAAACGTAGGAGTACACTTGAACAGAAAAAGACAGTGTAACACTCTGAAACTAATCGCTCCTCACTTGCATTCACTGGTGTATTGGAGCAATTGTAAAGTTTTGAAACTCTATTATCTTCCCCTAATAGAGTTTGCAGTGCCTTGTCATGCGAAGAGCTTGCACGCAAGGAACGTTTGGAATTTTTGCGAACACTATTTTTAGTTTAATTCTTTTAGGAAATAGACTTGTCTAGATTTAATCTTTACACCCCAAATATTATTTACATCGGAGTTGCATCATAAATTGTTCTCGGACTCAAACAACACAATGTCAATGCCTTTATAAAAGTAAAAGCATATTGTGTATTGGCCTATTGGGTTTACACTTTTACAGGTTCATTTAACTGTAAGTCTTAAACTCTCTCAAGTCTCAACAGACAATCAGACATGCCAAATCCATTGATATGACAAATTGACAACTTCAAAAAACTTTTTTTTCGAAGAAATCA